GTTGCTCTGTCTTTTAAACATATCTCCTTTTTTTTTATTTCTACATTAAAATCCTTAGCTCCAGTGATGTGAAATAGACACTTCACGTCTGTCGTCATGGTTACTCGTCAAATCAGGGCTCCACTGATAATGCCTTTTGAAACTAAACCACAGCAACCAAGAACTCAGAGTTTCCAAACTTGTGCTAGATCAATTCAGAGTTGAGGATTTCAGTCTGAGTTTATAAAATCCTGCTTGGTAAAAATGGGCGCTTGTCCTAAACAAAAAAAGTACTAGTATCAAGATTAAATCTTAAATACCTAATCATTAATATAAACAACCCTTCACTCAAAGTGTTGATAAAAGACAACAGCCTGCACTGATGCATAAGTTAAAATGTTGGCTGTATCTTCTCATTATATTTGGAAGTTTTTATGGGGGTGGGTCATCAGATGAAGTGGAGCGGGATGTAACCCACCAGGGGCGCTGCTTTCAGCACTGAGCTGTAGCTCTAGATCAGCTTTGATCCTGGAGAGACTTTAAGAGATGATTCACTGAATCCTCAACAGCTCTTTCCATCTCCACTTTCGCCTGTTCTATCTCTCATTGAGCTTAAATCAACAACAGTTACTCTGCCAACATGGATTAGTGAAGCTCTGTACAGAAACAAACTGTTACACTGATGGCTTCATAAGTCTGTTAAACCCACAGCAGTCTGTCATTTTTATGTAAATTTTCTTACAGCTACAGAAACATCACACTGTAAGCACAGCTGTAGAGACACAAAACATGTGAAAGTTTTATAGATTTTATAAATACTTTTAATCATAGTTTAATGTCTACATAACAAATAGTCCATAAGGCATTTTCACATGAATTAAGACCGTAAGTTTAAGTTTATACCATGAAATATGGAGAGCTAAACCACAAAATAGGTTTTGATTGGAAGACCAACACAGTTGCGCTCAGTTATATTGAAGACGTTTCGACACTGATTGTATCTAGGAGTCTTTGTCTTTTCTGTTGGCTCGCACCAGAGCAATCTGTAATTATAGCGTTGATGTATTTCAGCAGAATGGAGGTCCATCCACCTAAGCACATTCCAAGTCAGATGCAAATCAAATCGCCACTCCTGTTTTTTCTGAGAAGAACAAGGAGTCCATCCTCGTAAGGAATGTGCTTAGGAGAATGGACCTTTATATTGCTTAAGTACATTAGTGCTCCCACTACAGATTGCTCTAGTGCGTGCCAACATAATTTACAAAGACTCCTGGACCCAACAGAGAACACAACATAGAACTTATGGCCAATTCTTAAAAATCAGAAAAACAAAACCTGATTCACTCCATGCACTAAGACAAGAAGAAATCTGATTTAGCCCAGATGTGGATTCTACAAGAAATTTCAAGTCCAAAGAAAGTAAAACTGAAACCTGATAATATGTTGGACATAAAAAAAACAAGCTGTAAGATATCTAACATGCATGCAGTGACCAAATAAAATAAAATAAAATACACTATGAAATTATAGTCAAGAAATAAGATATTTGTTGTATTTTGTGAGTTCAAAGTAAATCATATTAAAAGGTCCAAATAAAACCTTTATTCAGATGTAGTAGTAAATGGTTTAAAAGCATTTGATGTTCATATGGAATGCAGACAAAATTATAACAGGAAGAGATAAAGAAAAACTAGTGTCAGTACTGGAACAAAATCTCTTTCCCTTCAAGGTCAGAATCAGATTTTGTATTTCTGGTTATGCTGTGACTCCAGCTTGATCACTAAATGTGTCTTACTTCTGTTTATAAAAACCCATCTCTTAGCTGTCCACTTCTTTCCTTAAATCAAAGATGTTATCAAAGGAAACAGGTACAAAAGGTACAAAAACACAGCCTTCCCACTCATACAAACTGATTCAAACTTAATTCCATTCTAAGTCTGCAGCAAAAAATTGAAATCCAGACATACTGGTCCAAGATTTTATATACTTTCTATGTTTCAGCAAAAGTACTGGCTTTATGTTTGCACTAGCTCCTTTTGTGGCTTCATCTAGTGAAACACAAATCAGCTTTTAATCCAAATGCATGAAAACCATTAACATGGGCCTGATCTCCACAAGGTTTGTGTTTCTTAAAACAGGTGCAAACAAGTTTGTGCATGCAGAGCAGGGGTACGTTTCACAAAGCAGTTTTACTGAAAACTATGAGTTTTTTAAACCTGAACTATGGGAAACTCAGTTTTCCATTTCACAAAGAGCGTTTCCCCAACCTCTGTTTCAGTCACCGTAGTAACATTCTCCCCAGAGCTAACCTGATCCGTAGCAGGTTTTCTTCAGTAAACTCAAGAGTGTCCTCTGTCTCCACTCTCCCTACAGCTAATCATGCTGTTTTATTTCCTGATTCAGTCAGGTTTTTGTCGGAGTTTTGTGCATAAAAAAGAAAAAAATCATTCACTAGGTCCGTTAAATACATTAGTATTCAAAAACAAATATTGTATGTCCTTTTGACGAGGATCTTGTTAAAGAATGATTAGCACTTTTTCACAGAGAAATAAATATCTATAGGGAGAGGATTCTACAATTCAGTTGGCATGGCATGAGATAACTTGTATTTCTTTTTTTTTATTTGAAATGCAGATGATTTTTTTGGAGAACTACTGAAATCATTTTCAGATTGCACATAAATAGATTAATTAATTCCGCAGCGGAAAAGGAATTAATTTAGGGTTAGGATTAGGATTCAGTCGATAACAACCTAATGAGTCTACTGGCACAATCTGAAGCTGTTCTATGGGACTAATAACCACTAATAACGAGTTATTGGAACGATAACATCTGAAGCGACTGCAAACAGCCACTTAGTATTTACTTGTCAAAGAGAGAATCAAGCTGAAGAACCCATGAGATGATGAGGTTCCATCTATTAGAAAACATTTTTTCTTCATCTTCACCTGTTGCTAGAAGATTTCATCTAAATACATACATTGATTTACTAATATTCAAGAAATAATAATGAAATAGGCACTTCTTGTTTCCTGTTGTCATGGTGACTTGTTGAATCGGTGCTCCACTGATAATGGCTTTTCAAACGTGTTACACACTTGTGAACTCTGAGTGGACCTACTTGGAGTTGATTAAACTAATTCATAGCAGCTGTTGTGAAAATGAAAACTCAGAGTTCCCGACATTAGGCTAGATCAGTTTAGAGTTGCAGATTTGAATCTGAGTTTCTTAAACCTGCTTCTTGAAAAGAAACCCAGATCTTCAAGGAGGGTGCAAAGTATTTTTTTTTCAATACGAAGATCATATTCTAATGACCAAAGCATGAATTAATGGGTGGGGCTATGCAAATGTGAACATTTCCGATATGTAAAAGGGTTATCCAAATCTTGCATTTATTTTCGTACTTCTGAAAGTCAGGTGTAAACTGAAACACAAAAATATCTGCAGTTATGTTTGCCACAAAGAAGACCTTGATACAATGATAGATGATGGAGAGATATTCTCTGTTCATGTAAACATATTTTGACTAGATTGGTTAACCGCACATGGGTCAGTTGTCCTTACATACCTACTGTTGTTCACAATTATTATCTGTTTAAATAATATCACTTGACCAAGCCTTTCTAATATTCCATTAAAAAAGATAATAAAGGTATGTGTGATTTATGCTGCCAGTGTATCATATCAATATCGCTATCTGTTCATTAGAAAAAAATAAATAAATAAAACAATACTACTATCATGTTTGAACTTAAATGGCTGTATTGGGGAAACCCCTAGTTTTCAAATTATCACTTTGGTGTGAAATAAAAAAAAAAAATGAATCCAGCTAGGGAGGTCTTCCATGTAGCTTTTTGGCCTGCTAGGCAGACAGTCCAACTTTTAAAGGAGTCATCACTCCTGTTAAAACATACATGTTGTTGTTGGGCTTCAGTTAAAACCTGCAGGAAAATCCTATGTGAAATTGACTAAATCATAATTTTGCATGGGCTTTTTGTTAAATTCAGAACAGAAATCCTTAACAGTTTAACCACAAATTCAACATTTTCAAACAGCTAAGTACAGGTTATTTAGAGGTTTCATCACTTCTCAGAATTTTAGAGGAAGACCTTGGAGCTCCTTCATTTCAAATGTTCTTACTTTTTTGAACATAAATCTCATTTCAGATGTAAGTTGAGAAAAAAATGTAACTGTTGAATTCACAACCTTTAATTACTGTAGTTTGGAGTTAATCTGCTTATCTTAATGCTATAAAACAGCAAAATTTCTTGGTTCTTTAAATTTCCTTTCAAGAGTCCATCACTTGTGTTTGTATTATTTTGAACCTAATAATCATTCAATCTGGAGGAAAAAAACAAAAACACCTCAAAATAAATTTAGATTTCAGTGAATAATGACTGAATTGAAGCTTTTTGTTGCAGAGGAAGGTGTCAGTTTGAGGAGTTTGGTTAAAAGCTTCTTAAAGCAGGGATCATTCAGACTCCCAGTCACATGACTGCAGGCTATCAAAAAATGTCACGTTTAAACAGAAAATCTGCTGAGGCTCCTTTACTGCAGCTTGTATGCAAATGCTGGATCATCATTAAATATGGCCAGGAATCTGTTGCTTACATCATTTCCTCAATTAAAATTCCTAACAAAGGAGCACATTTTAATGCTGAAATATTTGAAAAATCAATAAACAGAAATAAAAATGAAGTAACATTTTAAGATAAATTGTATGTTTCTTTTCAATAACTTAAGTCAGCCTCCCTTATCTTAACAGTATGTACAATTTCCACTCATGCCATCAGCTTATTAACACCAACAGTGGAAACTGAAACCCTTCAATCTGCAAATTGCAGGTAAAAAAAAAAAAAAAAAAACCGTCTGGCTCAGAATAAAACAAATTGCCAGGCCACATCTCATGATCTGTAAAAAAAAAAAAAATTAAATAAAACAAAGAAACACAGGGACACCTTCTGCAGTTATTCCTAACCCCTCTTCCCATCAGGACGGGCGCATGGAAGAGGCGCACTCACCCCAGACCGAGCAGCGCGAACAGCAGCCAGGGCTTCATGGTTTTATCCCGCAGTGCTGAGAAAAGCAGCGACTTCATTCCGCAGCTGGATCAACAAAAAAAGCAGCTGTAATGTGAATAATAAAATACAGCGGTTAGAGTGAGGCTGTTTCTGTCGGTGGATCACGGCTGAATGCAGAGGATGGTGGAGGGGCATGGATCCATGGTAGGGGTGTGTGTGTGTGTGTGTGTTGAGGGGAGGATGGGGATGCAGGGAGCGAGGCTGCTTTAGTCCATCTGCAATGCTGCTGTGACAGATGCTGCTTTCTGACTGATGTCGTTAAAAATATACATCTTTCAAATGACTCAACCAAGCTGAGAAAGGCTTGAATAAATCTTCATATTTGTGTTGAATCACAGCAGCTGTTCTGATCTATAAAAAAAAGAATGTCTTTGTGCAGCTTGACATTGATTGAGTGCCTTGCTTAAGGGCACAGCAACACAATGCAGTGCAGCTTTTTTTTTTCATGTTTATGATTTGAATAATCATAATGTTATAATGTAGCCTACCTTTGCATTTTTTGTCATGCGTAATATTTCAAACAGCTTTTATTATCAGACTCTACCAACCTTTCTTTAAAAACAAAATTGAGTTTTCAAATTAAGATTGCACTTTAAACAACAACAACAAAACTATTCAAACCAATTTTTTTTAAATCAACATCTGCCCCCTACACTGAAGCCTAGGCTGAAGTTCAACTGCAGAAACTCATTGCTTTCCTACATCCATGTGCGACACAAATTTGAACCACACCTCCACGAAAGCCAATCGGCATCCAAAGTTCATCTTAAAAGGTCTCCGATATGCACTTGTCTGCTCCTGTGCGCAGGCGGCAGATGCGCTGTGGGACTTCATTCAGATGACACCGTTTCAACCCACCTCCATCCCCTCCTCCACCATCGTAGCTAAAGCTTAATCAGAGTGTCATTCCTCCTGGACTCTACTGTATGAGGTGCCCCCAGGGACATAAATCAGAATTAACTTGCATATACACATATTAAATTACACTCTTCCATATAATATACTGAAAACCTCACACAAACACTAGTAAAAAGCTCTCACATAAACTAGTGAAAACATTTACCTCTTATATAATCTACTCAAAAGCTCTCATACAAAGTAGTGAGAACTGTTCATATAAACTGGTAAAAAGCTTTACCTTTCATACACACTACTAGAAAGCTTTCATATACACTATTAGAAAGCTCTCATATACACTACTAGAAAGCTCTCATATACACTGCTAGAAAGCTCTCATATACACTATTAGAACGCTCTCATATACACTACTAGAAAGCTCCCATATACACTATTAGAACGCTCTCATATACACTATTAGAAAGCTCTCATATACACTATTAGAACGCTCTCATATACACTACTAGAACGCTCTCATATACACTATTAGAACGCTCTCATATACACTACTAGAACGCACTCATATACACTACTAGAAAGCTCTCATATACACTGCTAGAACGCTCTCATATACACTACTAGAACGCTCTCATACACGCTACTAGAAAGCTCTCATACATGCTACTAGAAAGCTCTCATATACACTACTAGAACGCTCTCATATACACTACTAGAAAGTTCTCATATACACTACTAAAACGCTCTCATATACACTACTAGAAAGCTCTCATATACACTACTAGAACGCTCTCATATACACTACTAGAACGCTCTCATAAACACTACTAGAACGCTCTCATATACACTACTAGAAAGCTCTCATACACACTACTAGAACGCTCTCATATACACTACTAGAAAGCTCTCAAACACACTACTGGAAAGCTTTCATACACACTATTAGAAAGCTAAAATATATGGTCCCCCTCCTTTAATTTAGGCAAACATTGCTCAAATATCACCGAATCCAGATGGTTTGTTGTTGATGAAGAGAGGAATAAACACAGTTTAAGATTTGCAGCTAAATTAATTTGTTTCCATATTATGGAACTGCTATCAGGCACTTCCCATCATCTTATATCAGTAATAAAAAATTATAAATACAAATTTGGTATTTGGTGACTTGACTTTTATTTCTGTCAGGCTGAAGTGAAAAAACTTGGAAAGAGACTGATTCTCTTGCCGTTTAAAATAACAACACAAAACAGCATAAGAAAACCACATTTATTTTTTTTATTTTACAATTTTGTAAACAACAGCGGCTGATTAAACTAAATGTCTCAACCTTGTATAATTTTACGACTTTTTTTTTAAACCAAGAAATGATCCGAAAGGCCTGGGAAATGATCAGATCCGCTTATGTGGCTGCAATGCGCGGCGCGCTCCCGACACAGGTGGAACAGATTTTCACATGGGAACAGAATTTCGCACAACACCGGAAAAGGATCTCTGTTGAAGCAAAAACATAAAAAATAAAGTCGAGTAATGCCCATGCTTCTGTGAGTTGTTTAGCGGATAGCTGAGCATGAATCAATAATTTTATTTGATATAATTTCGGCCGGAGATAGCACAAAATGTACGGAGCTAGCCAGAATGACCTCCGTTTAAAACAACTTCCGGTGTAATGACGGTCCTTCCTGTTTCACTGAAACACCTTCAGTTTCAACTGAAATCCGCTAATAGCTTTTCAGTAGTATGTATGAAAGCTTTCTAGTAGTGTATATGAGAGCGTTCTAGTAGTGTATATGAGAGCGTTCTAGTAGTGTATATGAGAGCGTTCTAGTAGTGTATATGAGAGCGTTCTAGTAGTGTGTATGAGAGCGTTCTAGTTGTGTATATGAGAGCGTTCTAGTAGCGTGTATGAGAGCTTTCTAGTAGCGTGTATGAGAGCGTTCTAGTAGTGTATATGAGAGCTTTCTAATAGTGTATATGAGAGCGTTCTAATAGTGTATATGAGAGCGTTCTAATAGTGTATATGAGAGCTTTCTAATAGTGTATATGAGAGCGTTCTAATAGTGTATATGAGAGCTTTCTAATAGTGTATATGAGAGCATTCTAATAGTGTATATGAGAGCTTTCTAATAGTGTATATGAGAGCGTTCTAATAGTGTATATGAGAGCTTTCTAATAGTGTATATGAGAGCGTTCTAGTAGTGTATATGAGAGCGCTCTAGTAGTGTATATGAGAGCTTTTTAATAGTGTATATGAAAGCTTTCTAGTAGTGTGTATGAAAGGTAAAGCTTTTCACCAGTTTATATGAACAGTTCTCACTACTTTGTATGAGAGCTTTTGAGTAGATTATATAAGAGGTAAATGTTTTCACTAGTTTATGTGAGAGCTTTTTACTAGTGTTTGTGTGAGGTTTTCAGTATATTATATGGAAGAGTGTAATTTAATATGTGTATATGCAAGTTAATTCTGATTTATGTCCCTGGGGGCACCTCATACTACTGCGTTCCTTGTCTCATCTTAACCGGTCCGGCAGAAGACAGCCATGTTGAGACTGGTTCTGCCAGAGGTTTCTTCCCAATGGGGAGTTTTTCCTCACCACTGTCGCTTCATGCTTGCTCACCATGGACAGGTTCTCTCAAACTGTGTTATCCAAGCTGGCCCTATTCTTTGCTCCTGTTCATGCATATCTATCAAAATTAAGCGCTATGTTTCCTGCCGAGGTCCGAGCGCCAAAGACAAAGTAATTTTATCAATAAATTTCTCCTAATTGTCTTTTCTCTTCGTGTGACTTTTTCAGATTGAACGACCATTCAATTGCAATATTTCGAAGCTAAAGCAGGTGATGTAATTTGTCAGTTTTTTTAATAATGGTGTTAAAATAATTAAATATGTTTTAATAGATCCGACAGATGCATACAACTGTTGTGTAAGTACTTTCACATTACTCGTTCAAAGTAAAGACAATCATGAACATAAAAGAAACAAAGTGATTGACATTTGTCAGTCTACAAAAGCTTAAATATATTTGTAAGGGTTTGGAACTCTTGTGAATTACTAACTCAAAGAGAAAAAATTTACATAGCAGTGAAGCTTCTTGTTTCAATATCATAAATTGCTTAGAACACATTGACAGATCAATCAGATAACAAAAGAACCCACACCATAAGGCACTGGTAGAAAAAATAAGGAAATGTGTGTGTGTCCCATTATGTTGCCATAAGAAAAAGTGTAGTGTACAAGAAAACAAAATTTTGACTGCCCCAGTCATAGTCCATTCTTATTATATATTTTTCATGCTCTGGTGTTCACAATTTCTCCAGCGTGACATGAAAACAGGCAGACGGTTTACAGCATTTATTATTTTATTGTTTGTTTAATCACAATTATCTTTGAACATTTGGCCAGGCTGGTTGGATAACTATATTTCTTAGTGAAATCATGGTTAAAATGCCATACTGTAATTTCCTACATAGCCTACTCTGGTTTTATTTCTCTGGCATCAAATTTAGTTTTATCTGAAAAAGAATTGTGTAAAAAAAATTATCAATTTGTAATAAGATAAAACAATTTTTCATTGAAAAACTAAATCAGAATTTTATCAGCATTTTTTATCTAAATATTTTTATCAACAAAGAACATCTCAACATCTCATAATCTGCAATGATTTTGTTACAATGATGTAATACTTGATCATGATGCCAAGCAAGCCTGGGTCCGATCTGTGATGACATGTTTAGCCGCATGTCATCATTGAACCGCTGGTTGTTTATGTAGTGTCCTGAAAAAGATGTGGGCTACATTGATAATAGGCAACCTTTTGGAGGAAAACCTGGTCTGATGTGGGGAGATCCAAATCCATCCATCCCACTTTGGATGGTGTTGCTCTTCTTTCTAGGAATCTGGCAAAATGTATTAGTCCACTAAAAGCCTGACACCCCAGGGAGAAGACCAGGAAGCAGAGTCATACTGTAGGGTGTAACACACCTCTCTGCAGCTTATCCATCCCTTATTCCATCCAGACAGTATCTTGCTCACCACTAAAATCAAAATTAAAATAAGTCCATCCATCCATTTCCATGACGCTAATCCCAAGTGGGGTCGCGAGGGTTGCTGGTGCCTATCTCAATCTGTCTACAGGCGAGAGGCGGAGTACACACTGGACAGGTCGTCAGTCCATCACAGGGCATCGGAATTAAACAGGACAAACAACCATTCACACACATACACACACACACACCTAAGGAGAATTTAGAGAAACCAATTAACCTAAAAGTCATGGGTTTGGACTGTGGGAGGAAGCCAGAGTACCTGGAGAGAACCCATGCATGCTCAGGGAGAACATGCAAACTTCATGCAGAAAGATCTCGGGCCTGTAATCAAACCCGCAAGCCTTTTGATGCAAGGCAGCAGTGCTGCCCACTGCACCACTGAGCAGCCTAAAACGAGAAATAAATATATCCATAAAAAT